TTCACTATAACCGATATAATCATGTCATGTACATATGAAACTTATCTTCTTGAATCACTTTCACCTTAATTTATCTTTCAATTGCCCATGTACATTATTGAGAACAAAGGTATTTGAGTACATTGAGGTTGTGCACTGATGCTGTCACCACAACTCAATAAATTCCCTCATGGGGCACTGAACATTTGTTCAGTATTTGTCCCGAAGGACCACTATATCCCGAAGGACCACTGGATACGTCCTAAAGGACCACTGCATACGTCCCGAAGGACCACTGGATACGTCCTGAAGGACTAATATACCCTCGACTCTTGGCATGCCAACTATACCTATAGCTCTTGTATCATATAACATGGGCTTTAATATGAATATATTTCTCATTTCATATCTCTTTCATCACTTTTCATATAAACCCATAATCTTTTCCATTATTTCACATACCTGGATTATATTCTCTGGCAATGATATTCGTTCATTCAATGTCATATGAACATATAATGAATTATGCATGCAATCACTATTACAATAGTATATGTATGCATATACATGGGTATGGAATCATTAATTCAACCATAAGAGATAGACTTATCACAAGTCTTGTCTCTATACACTTTAACTATAAAATGCACTCACCTTAGCCTTGCTTTGATTCGATTCTAATCCTTCGATTGTTCTGAATAAGATTATGCTCTAAATCTACATAGTAATACATTGATACTTATCAATATATGAATTGATATATTCCAAACTATTAATCCTTAGGCTAAAAGAAAGCTATTTCCATCTCTTACTGAAGGTATACATCGATGCACTACACCATGTATCGATGCATCCCTTGACGGGTGCATCGATGCACTACCCATGCATCGGTGTATAGATGCATAAATCCTATTTGATGTTTGTATTTTAAGCAGGTGCATCGATGCACTTCTTATGCATCGATGCACTAATGGCATTCGATGTTCATTTATTTTAAATGAGTGCATCGATACACTCCATGTGCATCGATGCACCTTCAACAAATTCTAGGATTTTCTCTTGATGCATCAATACACATTGAATGTGCACCGATGCACTCTGCCCAGAATTCATTTCTTGAAAGAATTCATTTCTTGAACCCGAAAACTTATCCATTTCAGCTTAAATCTTTCATGTTTCATCCCCTTTTATATTCTTAAGTCCAGTACACATACTTAAACCAATCTATACTCATTTATTTCATCTTAAACCTCAGAATCCTATCCTCCTTGTGAAATCCAAGAATTATACCAACTTTGCAACATGATTTAATTCCACTTCTAACCCTTAATATGTCTTAACTAGATTGATGACAAGTCAAATTTAACTTTCAATTCTAGATATGATCTCTATTCCAAGATTTCATTCAAGAACCTCTAATATTTAATCTCTTCTAACTCCATCATCCTTTGATTTTAAGATAACCTAAGCTTTCCTTAAGCTTAGTTATCATCTAATAATCAAAACCCAATCTTAAATTTAACAAGAAACTCAAAAATCAGAAAACTCACCTTTGTTTTGCTTTACACGTACAAAGAAGAAAGAAGAAGAAAAGAACTCTGGAAGCCTTTGTGTTCTCCCCTCTTCAACCCACGTGGATACATATATAACCCTTCTTTTCTTATTCCCTTAGAAATGACCTCTTTGCCCTTCTATTCCTTATTCCTTTCAATTCAAATACATACAATAATTTACAAATAAATCTTTATACTATTCAATCATTCTATTTTAATCACCAAATTATGAGACTTTACAATTTAGTCACTAACCCGGTATTGAGGATGTTACAATGTAGCAGTTACACAAGCCAATAAAGAAGCAATTTGGTTGAAGATTATATTTGAGGAGCTTGGACACAATCAAGAGTATGTCTCTCTATTTTGTGACAGTCAAAGCGCCTTGCATCTAGCAAGTAATCCAGCATTTCATTCAAGGACAAAGAACATACGAGTTCAGTACCATTTCATTCGTGAAAATGTGGAAGAATGGACAGTAGATATGCAGAAAATCCATACCAAAGACAACATAACAGATTTCATGAAGAAGGCAATAATGCTTATAAATTTACCTGGTGTCAATCCTCTTGTGGCCTGTCAGAGACGTAAGCAACATGAGGGTTAAAGGTAAAAGAATGGTGTGAAGATATGATTGTTCCAATCTAATCTTCAAGTGGGAGATTGTTGAAATTCCAAAGTCTAAATTGGTTGCACATTTTCACCGAAAGTGCAAATAATTAAATGCACTGAAAAATGGGTTGTTTTTTGTTGATTTTTTTACAATGGTAAAAGCTTAATTTTAGTCATTGTACTTTAGGGTATTTACAAGATTAGTTCTTAAGCTTCAACTATAAATACCCTAGCTCATTTAGCTTCCAAACCATCCTAAATCATTTTAGCTTTCTCCCGATACTAGAGAATTTAGAGAGTTTTCTTGAGAGTTGTTTTCTCCTTTTTATCAAGAGAGAATTGTCATTGTTTTCTCCTTGGTATAGATCGAGAGAAGTTATAATTCCTACTTTCTCATAGTGAATTTCTTCTACCGTTGCCCGTGGTTTTTACCCTATATTATTTAGGGATTTTCCACGTAAAATTTGTGTCCCTTTATCTCTATTTTTTATTTTCTCAAATTATCAGTTGCGATTTTGCTCTATCCGATAGCCGTCTTCTGCAACAGAATCAGGATGGTTTGACAACATTGGAGGTTACAGAACAACATAATAGTAGAGAAAGCGTCATTGTTCTACGTGGTTTCTATATTCCAATAGTGTCAAACTTTTCTCATCAGTTTGATAAACAAACAATCAAATACGTGACGAAATCATCCTCGTTAATTTTTCACGATATGGAGAATATATCAGAGCAGGACCGCAATACTTTACTAGTAATTATGGGACTCCTGCTGACTGCTACCTACCAAACAAGTCCCAGTCCAGCAGGAGGACGTGGATTAAACGTTGTCAATTCTGCATAAAGCGTTGTATTAAACGTTGTAACTATTTTCAATGTGATTTTAATTCGATCGGTATAGATGCTGTAACGACGTTTAGGAGGACGTGGATTCAAACACGTTTTAAGAAACAATATCCTAAGATTTAAGGATTTGTAATGTCTAAAAAGTTTGAGGGTTAGATTCTTGTGTTTTAGCCAAATACATTCCATTTTAGCCATTTACTTTTATTTCTTTATAATTTGGTTCCAAAATGTAAAGTAATAATAGTAAATACATTTGCTGACGACTTTGCTAGTGGAAAATTCTATGGAAAACGTTGCATATTAAAACTCACCACTAAAGTGATACATCAAAACACGTCACTAGTTAAATTAAAATAGGGTAAAATTATAAATGATCATGAAACTATGATAAAATTATATTTTTAGTCATTCAACTTTTTAACAGTTACAAAACAAACATTAAACTTTAGATTTGGTAAAAAAATATAAGCACCAATCATTAATTATCATTAAGAGATGATATGACATTTTAAATCGATAAAATTATCTTCTTTGGTTCCTCAATTGTGACTAAAATTTACTTTTGATATTTTTTCAATATATTTAAGTAAGAATTAAAAAATTCTATTTTTATGAAATAAATTGAATTTCAGAATTTATTTTTGAAATTATAAATATATTTTTAAATTGTATTTAAATTTATTAAACAAAAGTTAAATAATTGAATCATATTGCTTAACAAAAAAACTTGACTTAATTTTCTGATAATTGAAATTGTAAGATCTCGGAAATCATAAATTATAAATTTTAAAAATTTAATCATAACTAAATAAAAATTATTTATAAAATCATATTGCTAAAATAAGGAATTTTTGTATCACATAACATCGATAAAGATTCTCGCCACACAAGTATAATGTGGCTATACTCTTTCTTCCTCACACAAGTGGTTTTGAACCAGGGGCAGATGCACTAAGCCTCCAAGGGGCCAAGTGTATCCCTAGGTCGGTGGCTAGGTTTTCGGGGGCCCTGTACAAATTCTTATAAGGGACCCCTATTTTCTAGATATATTCGATTTCGGGGCAACAATAGTGGCGTTTTTTTACAAACGCCGCAATAGATCCATCTATAATGGCGTTTTATCAATAAAACCACAATAATAGTGGCATTTTTTTAAAAACGCCGCAATAGGTCCATCTATAGCGGCGTTTATTGGAAAACGCCTTATATATATATACACTTTTTTGGGGCCCATTTTTTGGGGGCCCTGCGCGGTCGCGCAATTCGTGCCGGGCTAGCAACGGCCCTGTGTATCCCCATTAGTAAGGAAAAAAAGATAAAACTTAGTATAATATGTTAAAGAAAAATGGAAAAAATAAAAAGTTTTGCATACCCATTATTTTTAAGAAAAGAAAATTTAAATTTTGGACTATCATTGTTAAATTTCAGGATCCGTCACTGCTTTAATTTTCATTCGATCTTGTAGTTTCCTCTTTACCTCCTCACATGGACCAAAATCTAAAAACAACTGCCGAGTCGGGCAACGTTAGTCAATTGTATGAATTAATCGAGAGAGATGGAAACGTTTTGAGGCGATTCGATAAGGTTGAGTTCATCGAGACTCCATTACGTTATGTTGCATTCATAAAGATACAGAGACAGATACAAAAATGGAGACTAGGACAAGAAACGATAATTTTTAAAATTATAGGGTACGAGGACGACAAGGATACGACTTATAATTTTTTAAAAATTATAAATGGAAGTAAAAAATTATAAATAAAGTCAACAATTCATAGAAAATTAGTGTAACATCCTAATTTATCCCTAATTAAAAATCCTAACACTTTGGGAATTTTTTCTAAATCCCTAAACTAAGTTTGGTGGTCAATTTGACAATACTGAAAATTTTATTTCCTATTCAAAAATCCTAGAAACCACAGAGATCAACCGACAATTAGACCAAACATTCTTTAAGTGATGTTATCTCCTCTTTCTCCCTCACGCGGCCGCTTCCTATTTCTTCTTCCTTTTATTTTATTTTTTTTTTAATTTTTTTCTTTTTAACAACCCTAGCTGTCTTTCATCACTCCTGCCGCGCTGCCGTGGCCGCCGTTTACAGTGCCACCGTTTGCAGCGCCGCGATAGTCTTCGAAACGTCCCCGATTTCTTTCAGCTGTACCCTGCCACCGTGGCACGACCCCGATATGTATCCCAGCCATCCCCGTGCCGGAGACGTATCGGGTACTTGAAACGGGTTCCTTTGCCGTCCCCGTTTCATTCCATCTTGTAATTTCCTTTTTACCTCCTCACATGGATCAAAATCTGAAAACAGCTGCCGAGTCGGGCAACGTTAGCCAACTGTATGAATTAATCGAGAGAGACGGAAACGTTTTGAGGCGGTTCGATAAGGTCGAGTTCATCGAGACTCCATTACACATAGCTGCAGAAAAAGGGTGCATTGGGTTTGCACTGGAGATCATGAACTTGAAGCCATCCTTCGCTAAGAAGCTGAACCACCGAGGCTTGAGCCCCATGCACACTGCGGTCGGAATGGAGCAACAAGAGATGGCCCTGCGTCTCCTGGAAGTTGATAAAGATGTTGTTCGTGTCAGAGGAAAGAATGGCGAGACCCCTTTTCACTACCTCTGTAAACTTGAAAACCAACCCCGTCTGTTGGATAGATTTATGCAGGCTAGTCCCGAATGTATGAGAGATGTTACGGTTCAGAATCGCACTGCTTTGCATATCGCAGTTGAAAGTATCAGGCCGGACGTCCTAAAAGCCCTACTCCGATCGCTCGGAAAGAAGGACTATTATCAGGAAGTGGTGAACAGACAGGACGAGGACGGCAACACTGCACTCCACATAGCTGCTACCAATAATCAACCTCAGGTTCAAATCATCCCATTCTAACAATAAATATTACACAGATTATTTTGTATTTTGTGGTTAACCTATTGTGTTAAACAGATGCTCAGGTTGCTACTAGAATACAAGGCTGATAAACATATAACCAATCAAGCTGGTTTGACGGCGTTGGATGTAGCACATCAAAGTAATAACAGAGAAAACATTACTATTCTGCGTCGTGACTTCATTCCGGGAGTTTCGAACTTGAAATACAAGTGGGGCAAACGAATCGTCAAGTACGCTGCAAAAGCATCATCGCTAATTTTTCACGATATTGACAATATATCAGGGGATGACCGTAATGCCTTACTAGTAATCTTAGGACTGCTCCTAACTGCAACCTACCAATCCGCTCTTAGCCCGCCTGGTGGTATTTGGCAGGGCGACGATGCTTCATACGTCAGCTCCACCGTAAACGGTGAACGTAAGCTCCCAGGGTCGTCAATGATGGACACATATAATTTTCTTTATTTCTATATTCCAGCCTATATCGTCTTCATCGTAACCTTTTTCCTAACTCTGGGTCTGCTTGAACCATTTCCCCAAGGTTTTAGGTCCTACTTTCGTGTCTTGCAGTGTGCTTCGATCAATCAGTATCTGTTCTAGCCCTAACCGGTCCGGCATATACAGTTGTCAATATATTTTCTATAATCCTTTTCATTTTAATGGTGTTCATGGGTATCACCCATAAGGTGTCAAAACTGAGTGTTTCCATTGTAGTATGTTGGATATTCCCTTCGATTCTTTACAATTACGATGGTCATTTCCCTCCAGTTCCAACCCGGTTGGAGAATTGTGTTTTGCCCTAATTAAAGGATTTTTGTTATTCATTTTCCTATATGATGAATTTTGGAAAGGAACCATTTTAGTTTTAGGGCATAGTTTATTTAGTAGGCCCGATTTCTTTCACTCTCCATATATTGGCTGGTGGACTAATAGGGATCCTTACAGAAGCTTAACATACCCTATTGAATTGGTAGGATGCTGGTTGTTCCTTAATCTGTGCCGATTCTGTATAAACCGGTGCATTCGATGTTGTAACATTTTTTTTCTTTTTATTAAGCTAAAGTGATTATAAAATAATATCTGCTCTGATCGATGTTATAACAATTACGAGTTTTATTTTACTTGCAATTTGAATGTGTATTCGATTTATCTTTCCTTTCGACATGGAGGAATGTTTGAGAATGGCTGCCCCTACTGGTAATGTTGGTGATAAAACTTAGATGACCTCCCTTAGGATGCTTCATGAATAAAAATCAAAATCAATTTTTGTATCCCTTAGAAAAGTCGTCAATATGAAATTCGAATTATCTTAGAACTAAAATTTGGTTTTTATGCCAAATACAGATCATTTGCTGATTGTGGGTCCTAAAGGAGTGGTCCTTACGACATAAATTTCACTGTCCATGATATTAAACTTCGGTGTTTATGTTCAAATACAGACTATTCATTTAATAGGACCCTCTGTAAGGACCACTCCTTTAGGACCCTCTGTAAGGAAAATGATGGTCAGAAATAACGCGGTGTGGTGTGATATACACATGGTTATCAATGTACTTCTAAACTATAATCCCTAATATTTATTTATAGATATATGTTTTTTTTGTTTACCAAAGAAATTTGTATAGAAAAAAATCTACTCAAACTGAGTTTCCTACTCTTTATCCATTGGCGGAACATCATGGGGTCAAGACCACCAATTATTTTTCTAACTATTAACTAATATTAAAAACGTGTATATATTTCAAAAAAAAATTATCAGGTCCCCCAATTAAAAAATTGTATTTATGAAATAAAAAATATTTTAACCTTCATTATAATAGGGGTGTTTGGCAAACAACTAATAGCTGATATTTGGTAGCTGATTCCAGTAGCTGATTTGATTAGCTGATTTGAGAAATTGATTTGATTAATTGTTTATATTGAAGTGTTTTGTAAAATTTAGATGATAACTGATATGGGTAAAATAACAAATAAGTGTATGATACATTTAATTATTAAGTGCATATATGTTTTATAATATTTTAGTCTTTATTGAGGGTGAAATTATTCGGATAAAATACTTTTAACAATGAATTAAAAATTCCTTAAAAAATTAGTGAATATTTTTTTTAAATTTAATATTTACAAATATTAACATTGTGAAATTCATATGTACTATTAATCTTGTATAAAATCTCAACACCACATTTTTACTTTCATGTTTTGCTATAGTTTCTCAATTAAAATATATTTGAGAATCTACAACTAAAAAATAGAATAATAATTTTTTTTTTCACTAATTCATCATTAGACGTAGCATAAAATTCATTCTACAAAAATTCATTGAAAATAAATTATAGAAATAATATGGTCAAATATGTCATTTAACATCTTATTTTGCAATCAACTCTCCCAAACCGCTGGATTTTCCAGCGGTTTCATTTCCAGCTTATCTTGCACAACCAGCTCTTTAAAAAAGATGTTTATCAAACACCCCCAATAAATTATTCCTGGTTCTGCGCTTGTTTTTATCGGTGTATAAAGGAAAAAGTAGAATTTTAAACGATCAAATTGCTCTTTACCAACATATCCCTATTTTAAACTCTATTTTAATTGAATTCTTCTTAATCATCTAAAACCCGATAAAAAGAAGGGTAAACTACTCCAATGGTCATTAATGTTTGGGTAAGTTTTCGTTTTCACCATTGATGTTCTGTTTTCCATCACATCTGTTAACGACGAGTGACCAATTTGTAACAGACGATTACATTAGTGACCGATTTGTAACTTTTGAAACATCAGTGGTGAAAACAAAAAATTACCCAAATATTAGTGACCATTGGAGTAGTTTACCCTAAAATAATTCAGTTCACACAATTCTAACATCACCCCATCAATGATTTAACAGTCAAACTTCATGGAAGGGTTCTTCACTGGTTTGGATTTTTTTTATATTTTGACCGAGTCTATTTTGGAACTCCATCTCTTTCTGCTTGTTTGAACAGGTAAGCAAACTCTCCTTTTATAGTCATGATTCTATACTTCTTTTTCATATATTTTTCCTACAATTTACTGTGAAAGACAACAAAAGACCAAAACCATAGACTTAATTTGTCTTAATATATTGTTTCCTTGGTGGCTTTAACGCAGACCATACAACCCAAAATCTTTTTATCTTTTTATCTCTCTTCTTGTCGGTTGATTCTTCCTTCAGGCATGGAAGAAAGTTTGAGAACAGCTGCTCGTGTAGGTAATATTAGTGAATTATATACACTAATCCACAGAAACGGAAATGTTTTGAGGCGTCTAGACAAGGTTGAGTTCATCGAGACGCCTTTACACATAGCTGCAGAAGAAGGGTGCATGCGGTTTGCGATGGAGATTATGAGCTTAAAGCCATCCTTCGCTAGAAAGCTAAACCAACAAGGTCTGAGTCCCGTCCACCTCGCCGTCGAGAAAGGGCATAAGGAGATGGCGGTACGTCTCTTGGAAATCGATACCGGTCTTGCTCGAATCAAAGGGAAGAATGGGGAGACTCCTCTGCACTACATTAGTAGATTTGGAAACAGTGATGATCTGTTGGAAAAAATTTTGGAAGCTTCCCCTGATTGCATCCGAGATGTTTCAAATCAAAATCGCACTGCTTTGCACATGGCAGTGGAAAACAAAAAACTAGACGTCCTCCAAGTACTAATAGGAACGCTTAGGAAGAAAGACTATTATCAAGAAACGGTGAACCGAAAGGACGAAGACGGTAACACCGCGCTGCACTTAGCTGCTAGATATAATCAACTCGAGGTTCGACTCATCTGCTTTAATGATTCACATACATGGATCTTCTGTATTTCATATACATGATTAATTGATTGTACGGTTTTTATAATAAAACAGATGGTGAAGCTGCTATTGAACTGCAAAGCAGATAGGCAAGCCAGGAATCAGGATGGTTTGACAGCACTCGAGGTTGCAGAACAACATAATAGCAGAGAAAGCATCACGGTTCTACGCGGTTTCTCCATTCCATTTGTTTCAAACTTTTCTTATCAGGTCGATAAACAAATCATGAAATACGTGACAAAAGCATCATCGTTAATTTTTCATGATTTGGAGAATACATCGGAGCAGGACCGCAATGCTTTACTAGTAATTTTAGGACTCCTGCTGACTGCTACCTACCAAACAAGTCTTAGCCCACCCGGTGGCGTTTGGCAGACCGACTGTTCTTCGAGCTCCGCTGGTTCGAAACGTATCGAAGAAAGGGAATCCCCAGGGAGTATAGGGACAGTAGTGATGGATCAATACTATTTCCTTATGTTCTATAGTCTAACCTACATTGTCTTCATGGTGGCCTTCTTCCTAACACTCGCCCTGCTTAAACCTTTCCCCCGTGGGATCAGAAATACGCTTCAATTACTACTAGCGTTTCTCGCACTCTGCTTCGACCAATCGATATCTACCATAGCTCCAACCTTCTCAACAGCTATAATTCTACGTGCATTTTCAACGATCATTTTTGTTTTCATGGTGTTCATGTGCACCTCATACAAGGTGTCAAAACTTAGTGTTTCGATCGTCGGATGTTGGATATTCCCTTCGCTTTCGCTCTCCATTCTTGCCGGAGGAGTAGTTGTAGGTGCAATTCAAGGATTCTTGTTATTCCTTATCCTATACGATGAGTTCTGGAAAGGAACCTTGTTAGTTGTAGTTTACAGTCTATTTGTTGGTGAGGGTTATAGAAGTGTCTATGGCTGGAAATACCCTGCAGCATTCATAGCATACTGGTTATTACTTAACGTATGTCAATTCTGCATAAGCGTTGTATTAAAAGTTGCAACGATTTTCAATCTAATTTTAATTCGATCGGTATAGATGCTGTGACGACGTTTAGGAGGATGTGGATTCAAACACGTTTTAAGATACAATATCCTAAGATTTAAGGATCTGTAAAGTCTAAATAGTTTGAGGGTTGTGTAAAAATAATTGTGATAATTAATTAGTAAAATTAATGATTGAGCCAAGTTGACGATGGATACCGATTCTTGTTTTGTAGATAATTTATGATTTGTCGATTTATTGTCATTTTCAAGGGTGGCTCTTTTTGGTTCACAATGTTGACTGCCATTTGTTTAGACCTTTGTCTATGAAAATATGAAAGGCATACACTTTGCTGGGATGTTGATCATCTTTTGCCTACATTTCTACTCCCCATTAGAGCAGCTCGTGAGTAGCTTGAATTCGACTAAGTCAAAATTCGTTAAAGTTCGACTCGAGCTGATTCGACTTGAACTCGAGCTCGATTCGAATCTTAACGAGCTAAGTCGAGCAAAGTCCAACTCGACTTCTATAAATTCGCGAGCAACTCGTTAATTTTTTAATAACTTTTTAGCAGTTATTTTAAAAAAATATTTCATTCAAAGAATTACTAATTCACTAATAGATAATAAAAATAGATAATAAAAAGGATGATAAATTACCAATCCATTATTTTTTTAATAAATAACTAAAAATGCTAAGGTATTTATTAATAATTATTATTTTACTACACCCAAAAATCAAACCGCGATTATTATTTTAATGTATCTGGATTGTTATTTTGTTGTTTAGACTTTCAATTTGATTCACACACTCTTTCGATAATTTTTTGGCTAAATTTATTAATATATGTTAATATTATCGATCGAAAGACTTATTCAGAATTGATTATGAATAGCCAAATGGAGATTTGTCATATCAAATAGATTCACGAGTATTGAATTCTTGAAATAGAGAAGACTCTTTCAATTACTACTATATGAACATAGATTATTATGACAAAAGACTTATCTAAATTGAATTATCAAAATTTTAGAAGGGTCTTATGACTCCAAACGAATTTCTAAAATAACTTTCTTGAAAATAGAGATATACAGAGGTTGACATACAATTTAACCCAATAATCATATTGAAAATATTAGATTTTTTTATTCGAAGTTCTTAGGGTATATAAAACCAAGATTAATATAACTCGAATTAATCATCACTTTGGCTAATTAATGTATAGTTCAACAAAAGATCATAGTGGATAAAGAATATACGACAGGTATAATAGTTCCTTTCCAAAATTCATCATATAGGAAAAGGAATAACCAACATCCGAGAATTATTATTTTTTGATAGGAATGAAGATTTATTAAAATCAAAAGTCGAAGAACAACTTATGAGCCTCGTTAAAAACCTCTCTAATCTAATCGGAGGAAAAGAGTGCAACATAAGAGACATACATACAAAGATCACCAACACCTAGTACAGGCAACTCAAGAACAAAAAACACAACCGACACAAATAAGCACAAACTACAACCATCTAAATAACAGCAACAATCCCAACCAAAATAACCGAAACAATCCCAACCAAAATAACCGAAACCTAACTAAAAACAAAGCAACCTAACAAAAATTCCTACAACTGGATTGATAACTTCACCCACTAAGAGCTATGAGTGTAATTATGTGGGCACCATTTGCACTAAGTGGGGAGATTTCTGGGTTGCGTCAAATAAAAGACCTATGCTTTGGTTCTAAATCATAGAACGGTGGAACCAGACTTGGGCAGGCGAGAACTCCAACACTATAAAAGACAAAACGCCCACACATCGATAGCCCTGATCGATAGACCAGCAGCAAACACCACCTGCAAAATGATCTCATTACCCTCCAAAGTTGCGCACGACTCCCCCACATCGCCCTCATGCGCCCCACTAACCTCCTCCAAGAGATTATTAAAGCCAACACTCTAGCGCATTGGAAATGGATCCCCACCACACAATGTTTAGGATTACAAAAATCCAAATCCCCATCACTTAGGCCATCTCCAATGCTTATCTCTACTCTAACGGATCTCTATCTCTACTCTAGAGATGAAACAGTAATTCATCTCCAGCGCTATCTTTACATTACCACTAACTCTACTTTATTCACAATATTTAACTATTATAATATTAATTTTGTAAATTTAAAAAAATCATAAAAAATACGAAAAATTCGAAAAATTACAAAAAAAATTAGTATGATTATTTATCTAATTTTAATATATTTTTATCTATCTTATAATTTAATATATTTTAACTAAAAAAAAGCAAATGTAGCGTGAGCTACAGTACCGCGCTAGATGTAGCATGGTACTGTAGCAAATATGTACAGTGGCGATGGAACTGGCGCAGCGTTGGAGCGCACTACAGTGGAGATATGCGCTAGACTATTGCACCGTTGGAGATGGTCTTAATAAATCCTGCGCATTCCTTCTAAAACAGCCCAAAATTCCACCTCATCACACACATGCACTCCACTACCTACCTCCAAAGCACTAAAAATCCACTCCTCAGTCAAAGAGAGACCGACTGTATCCCATAACGCAATATATGGGACTCTTCAAACAATTTACCTTCAAAAACAACGCGGAACTCCACCTCCGTTTCCACTACCACCCCATTACCTACCTCCAAAACAATAATAAATCATCTCCTCTGACATGTAAAGACGCGAACACCTTCCCCATACCCAAAATAATAAATCAGAGCTCATGAACAAACCAAGAAATCCTTGATAACAACACTCAACCTTATACAACATAACCCACCAAAAAATGCCTCAGACGCCAAGAAACCGAACTCTTTAAAACACCAAGAATCAACCAAACTAAAGTCATAAACTTCTACCAACACCTAATAAAAAAACACTCTATACGGCTACACACTTTAGAAAACTACAGTCACGAGTACCATCCCCATACTAAAGAAACAGAACTCATGAACATACCCAAAAATCCTTGATAACAACACTCTAACTTTGGAAAACCAAAACCCACCAAAACCGCCTCAGAAGCCAATAAAACGAACTCATGAACATACCAAGAAAAATCTCATCTACGTTCCCAACAAAAACAACCAAAATAAAACCTAAAACTCACACCAACCCCTACTAAAAAAATCACTGAAGACGACAAACACACAATATGAAACTGAAAATCTCCCAACACCAGAACCCCTACTACAAGTTGAAACATATCCACAAAAAACTCTTTATCTAAACTACTCCAAGACCTCCAGAAAACCACGACAGGGACCTCAACTATCAAATGCAAAAGAACTTACCACCTACTCTATACCTCCCTCACTACCCTCAACCCAATTATAACGACACTAACTTCTCAAGAACCTTCCTTTCAGGTTCTGCAAACGTAATACCGAGCATCTTCGTTACTGACAGAGTTTCCTCCGCTTCAACATACGCAGCATCCCAATTTTTCTTTATGTCCGAATCTGAAATAGATCTACCTGATAATTAAGTAGATTCAAGATCAGACTTCTTTAACTTGGAACTCTTCAACGCTCGATCTTTTCAACTCCTCTCAGCTTTCGATAGGACTGAGTCCTGGATATCCAACATAGAACCAAACTTCTGCATCTTCTTTTTATTCCTAATGGACATTTCTGGCACACATGACACATCTTCTAAGACTCCTCCAAAACTGTCTTTTTCAGAAAACTTCGATTTACTTACGTCGCCTAATTCCAAGGAGTTACCAGAACCCAAAACTAAACCTTCACTCCTCCCCCCTGAAGCCACCAGATCATCTTTATGAGATTTCAATAAAAATCCATTCTTTAATCCCATCCTTAAAGGAGGCTCAATATCTGGAGAAACTGCAACAGACGCATTCGCCAAAACTCCATCCTCCAACTTTGAAATCCCGTCTAAAAGAGGACTGTCCACATTTGACTCTACAACCAAAGTCTCAACCCCATCAATAACCAATCCTTTCACCCCCCACGTGATTGCATTGATCTGAAATTAGAAAGCCAACTTTCTATCCACCATCCTTGACACCAAACTCGACCTCAGTCGGCTTCCCTAAACTAACCTTATTACGGCAACAGAGGCTATCCCCAGAGCACGCGACATCAAAAGGGATGCCATCAGGAGACCCTTTCTTGCAATCAGAACTACCAGACTCAGAAGCCACCAACAGATCATCTTTACTCGGAGAAACACTTGCATTATTAGCCCCGACCACAACCCCATCCTTCTCAGCCTCAATCACTATTTTCGTCAGGATTTCAGATTTAGACAAAATGCCTAAAGAATGATCCAGCATCCTAACTTCAAGAACACGAACATCAAATTTTTATTCTCCACCACTACATCAACAACTTCATCAATCCGAGCTTCTGAAGAAGTAGTAATCAGCATATTAACTTTCTCACAATCTAGATGATGGCTAACATTATCTCCAAACGCCTCAAATCTCCCCCAAAAACCAACTAATCTTTTCAAAGTGATTGTATTCCAGCAATGCAAAGGTAAACCCTCTATCTCTAGCCAAACAACTCTCTCCTTCTAGCAAAAAGACTCTGTCCAAAGCATTACATCCACAAAAATCTCTTTCAAGTAAGACCACTGAAAGTCTTCAAGCATGATAAAAAGATCTTCGTCCTCTATAGAGAGCAGAAAAGAGTTCCCACGAAGTCTTTGAACTTTGATTTCCCCTAAACCCCAGTTATGTAATATGTCAATAATACTCCCAACACTATAAACACCAGCCATAAAACCGACCAAACATCTCTATAACTTTCTTACTTCGCCCTCATCCACATACCCCTTAACTTCCTTTCTGGAAGCACACGCTAGGCTAGCCTCATTCGTTTGAGAAATACTAGTTGCGACAAGGTTTGCAGATTTACCTTTCCATGACAACTTACACTGTGCATATTTATCCTTCGGAGCCTTCAAAGAATACTTAGCAAAACTCACTGAGATGAGACTACCGTACACCACAAGACCATTCAAACATTCCTTAACTCTATCGGCTTCTACCATATTGCCAACTTTGACGAAACCGAACCTAGAGCCTGCTCGACTCCTCTTCGACGGAAGATACACACTCAAAACCTCACCATAATGACCCACAATCTGCTATAACCCTTTCCAGTGAATAGAGTTTGGTAAGTTATCCACAAACAAAGAAACAAC